AGCCTCTCAGTTGCGACGTTGTCCATCGCATTGCTTTCGCCTTGGCTCCCGACGAGCAGAAATGTCAACAGAAAAGGCAACAACATGAGCGCTTTCGACGGTTTAACGCCGAGAAAGCGACTCCATGTAAATCCCATCGTTGGCTTTCTGTGAGACGGTTACATTTGTCGTTGAATTGGTGTCGGTTTTGATGGGAAACTACCGCTTGGATGGGAAATTGGCCAAATGACAGCTTCTTCCGCAGCCGTTATCAAAACACTGCCACTTCCGGTTCTTCAAAATAAGAGTCGGCTTATGACCGTTGGTGGTGCTGACACAAACAGCGACCCTTCATGGTGCTGAGGGCTGCTGTCATGTCACAGTAACATTGCACTATGAAATGCACCAGGACAAAAAAAAAACTAAAAATAAACACAAACAAACTGACAGTAAATAAGATTTCAGCACAACAAAAACAGCTAAAACCTATACAGTCTATGGGAAAAAAACAGAAATACAGTGAGAAACTTAAAGGGACAAGTCACCACAAAATCAAAAACACATACTTTTCCTCATACCTGTACTGCTATTTAAAACAGATTGTTTGTGGTGTGAGACGTAGGGTGTTGGAGGTATCGGCCGTAGAGATGTCTGCTTTCTCTTGAGTATTATGGAACTAGATGGCACTCAGCTTGTGGTCCTCAAAGCGCCAAAACATACATTTGAAAAACTCAACTGCAATTTCTCTTTCCAGAAATCATGACCCGCTTACTCAAGATAATCCACAGACCTTGTTGTGAGCAATTTTATGCAAGCACTATTTTCTTTTTATTGAACTACACCCGCCAACCGTATTACCACGCAGAAGGAAGCATGCATCTACTCATGGGTGAAAGGCTTGTGCTTTTGACAAAAGGAAATGTAAATTAATGGCGTCCTCCTCGGCTGAACTGTAATGTTTATCAAACATTAGTCAGAATATTATTGCAGTCATGAGCACAAGCCTTTCGTCCATGAGTAGATGCACGCTTCCTTCTGCGCTGTGTAGTTCGATAGAGAGAAAATAGTTCCTAGATGAAACTTCTCACAACAAGGTCTGTGGATTATCTTGAGTAACTCATGATTTCTGGAAAGAGACATTGCTGTTGAGGTTTCAAATGTATTTTTTGGTGCTCACAGCACCACAAGCCGAGTGCCATCTAGTTCTATTATACTGTACAGAAAGCAGACATCTCTTTGGCAGATATCTCCAACACTCAGCAACTCACACCAAAACAATCTAGACTGATATGTAATTTTGATTTTGGGATTACTGTCACATGATTATCATGATAATGACAAGTAAGGAAGGAAAACTGGAACTGGAGACTTAATTTTAAGATATGGGTTTGTTGAAATTATTTATACTAAATCTATGTCTTGTGTAACTTTAACTGACATTGCGTAATTGTTACACCTACAGATCATACTGAATAGAATGATGCAGAGCCCAACAAGCGTTGAAAAGCAGTTTAGTAGTAATTCTACAGCACTCTTAGGTCTAATTTTGAGTTTTGTTCTTAATTGTTCTGCTTTGGAAATTTTGTAATTTTCAACAACTGATGAATATAAAGCTGAAAGAAACAGAGCATTAAGACCACAGTAATTTGCATGCATGTAAGTTAAAAAAAAAAACCCTGTCCGATTCACTGGAAGTGAACCGACGTGTGCTGATTGTCGTGAGAGACGTCACAGATCCACTGGCGAGTTAAAAGTTAGCCACAGATGTGGGGGTTGAGTGCTTCCTCTGGATTAAAATTATTTGAGTAATATCTCCTTTGGTAATACTGGTAGTTGGCAAAAGATCACTGGCACTTATCACAAACTAAATGTCACAGTGCAGTTATGATTTTGTGCAACATTTTATCACAGTATATTTTGTATTTGCATTTCAACAGAACAGACTAAGATCACCATCTTGCTTGATCTGATAAGTTTACGAGGTATAAGCATGACAACTAATTTAATGGTTACACCTATGACACCCAAATTACACAGACAAGCAAGCTGAATCAAGAAAACAGTCATCAGCACAAATATGGGAAGGGTTAGTCCTCCCAGAATTACAGTGTATGTGATACAGGTTACTAAAATATAGGTAGTCAGAAAAGCATGTTTTTGATTATTCAATGAAGTAAATGCTGTTCATATGAGTGTTGTTGTATGATACACCGCACGCAGCACAGCACATACATGAAACCACCCGCTTCAGATGTTCTTTATCTTTATTTCTGAAACCGTTTCCTCTGACAGGAAACAAAACACCCACAAAACTCGACTTTGGAACACAAGCAACACACAATTGATATCATGTGACCCAGTCACACAGAAGGCATGTTTTAGCTTTTATCTTTCTTGGTAAAAAGGCGGACGTGATGCTACACATACTGTCCATGTAACCAATTTAAAAATGTCATCACTAACTTAAACCTGAGAGATGACAACCACACATATCTGGAAAGCATTGTGAAGCTTTGGCCTTCTCTCTGCTTTGTCTTATTTTGTTAAAAAGATAAGATGGTTAATGGCCTAATGTGAAACAGGCAAAATACATGCTTTATGACAGCTTAAAAAACCTTGTAACTAAGAATGAGATTCTGACTTTATCTGACATTTATTGCTGTTCAAGCTAAGTTTGCAAAACAGAAATTTGTTAATCCAATATATTGTTGTTTATAACAGGCCTACAATACATTTGCCATGGTTCCTGTGGCTCTAAGCTTTTATCAGAGTCATATAATGTTGTTTTAATGCCAGTAATTGCTGCCCTACTTCTATAACATCACAGTGTATTCAGTACACTCCCCAAGGTCTTGAAGGTTTTGTTTCAGAAAGGTCTATAGCCTGTGGTCGGCCAGTAATACAGAACAGTTATTAATGCTTCAAGTTGTATGAGTCTGGTCCAGAGATTGCACAAAGCAGTATCATTTTCTGTACCTTCTCTCAGCAAACTGCTGCTACATGCATTTGCATTTTGAAAGGATGCAAGATTATCATGTGCATATGGTTTTCAAAAACAAAATGAGCTTGAAGTTGTCCACTTTTTCACCACTAAACTAACACTGTTTTGGGGTTTTAACTGGTTATACAACTATTGATAATACTTTTTGTCGAGAATAATGAATATATAAACGTAGTAAACGTAAATATATAAACGTGGTTTCACATATATTCATTCCCAAATAATATTTTACAAATTGTCCGTATGTTATCTTACCACACAGCCATACAGCAGCAGGCCCAACTGCGTGTCATCTTGATCTAATACCTAACTAGAGAGTTTCCTCTAACAGGAAGCCAAAGCCACAGATCAGGTCAGAGACAGCAAACACAGAAATGAAATATGCTCACTTTCAGTGCTGTGTAGACATTTTGGGAGCCAGGTGCTCAAGTGAAAAATGCCCCCATTTGTGCACATTTGTGCACAGTAATGAGAAGGGTAAATGTCTGTTTAGCTTCCATATGAGATGTCTCAAGATCTATATTAAATGCACGCGGCAGCTGCTACACACACATTCACTTTCTACATGTATCATTGATTTATCACAGGCAACAGCAAAATCTTTGCACAAAATTTGAAGGCCTGTGTTCAGATGCAACAGTTAGGCCAAGTATACTTTTCCTATCATCCTCATTTTGCTATCAGCTCCTCACCTTATGCTACACTCCTTCCTTCTCCGTTTGCTCTCCCCTCCTTATTTTCATCTCCTGTTCTATCTTCCTTGTGTCTCTTCCTCATCTTTCCCCTCTCCTCATTTAGTTCTTCCCTCCCAGGTTTTCCTCCCTGTCCAAAACTTTGTTCTCCCCTCCTCTCCTTCAAAGGGAGCAGGATCATTCTGCTTTATAAGAGCATCCCTCCCGGTGCCTCGCCTTGGAAACTCTGCTGACCTCACTGTGATTTAACTGGATGTCTAGCTCTCTGGCAAGCAGGAGAAGGTCAGAGACTTCTCAGTTTGTTCTTGATCATTTTCCACTTTGAAAATGATCTCTCTAAAGAAGCTGTTGACACTGGCAGAGTTGCATACGGTCTTGTCATCTTCGTTAAGCCTTGGAGAGATGAGCTGGGCCGTGTTTTCCTTCACTATGGATTTCTTTCTTTTGAGTTTGTGTATAGAAGAAAATTGCTGTGTGATTTAATTAAATACTCCCTTCTAACTCTTAGAATAATCTTATAAATACACTTTAAGTATTTGCGACTTGTGAAGATGCGCCACCAGAATAACTCAGGATGATTCTAAGACTGTATTCACACCAAATCTGGCATTTGATGGCAGCAGAAGCAGCTTGATGTAGATTTATTCAGTGTTCTTATTGTATGAAGAGTATATAAGTAAACAATGTTAATATGTAATGTTAACTTTTTTCCTATTGTGTACAGGTACTCTTAACTTTCTTTAAAAAATAAGGCTTTTCATAATCACATTTTTTTTAGCTGTTTTATTTTTAAGTCAGCTACACTAAGGTACATTAAGTGTGTTTAATTTAAAATTAAGTGGTGCTTTATCACTTCGGCACAGTATGTTAAGTTCAGGGGACTTACTCCTTTTGAGTTCCTGTCAACTTTATTGAAGACAACTACAGTAAGATACATTAAAGAGTTGGTTGAATTTGACTGTACTGAGATACAGTAAGTGCCCACATCTTTTTTAAAAAGTACAGCTTACTTAAATAAGATATACTTTATTGATCCCCCAGAGGGGAAATTTAAGAATAATAATGAATCTTTATTATAAACGTAATCATTTTACACATTGTTTAACTTACTTAAATAAAATAAATAAGAAAATTTAAAATCAATTTAAAAAGTATATCAGTATCCAGTGATCCTTAACTCTCATACTGACATAGTTCTAATACAACAGCATAATAGAATTCCTAAACTGAGGCATGGCTTTTGTTTTTATTGTACCGCCCCAAGGTTTTCAGTTGCACTGCCTGGCCGTCCCTGTGACACATTTCTGGAGGCACCAATGCGCATCGATACTCAGATGTAGAAGTAGACGTGCACTGAGAGCATCCTGTTTCTGTGCGTAACGATGCTGACGAGACTGCTTCTGCTTTTTTGTCTGACAGGGCATGTGTTTGCCAAAGAACCGCCTGGTAAGAACATTTTAAATGAAGTTTTTAGATTATAGGTGAATTATGATATTATTAATAACTGTATTAAGCCTGTTTGGATGTTTCTGAGCAGTTATTTTATTTGTGTCAGGGCTTTTGACAGATCTTATCATGTCGCTTTAGGTTTGGCATTCATGGTGTGAAGCTGTTTTTTTGTTCATTTATCTGTATATCTATAGTAGTAGATAATAATAATACACAAGATTATTTACTATAATGATTGTTTTTATTATATTTTTGATGATCTTCCTAAAAATATAATCAAGATTAGAGGGGGGGGGCTTTAAATATAAATAGGCATTAATATTTTTTAAAAAGTCACTTGTATTATCAAATTGAATTAAACTGTTTATGGTAAAGCTTTACATTCTTGATTATATACATTTTGCGTAAATTCCCTTCCACGTCATTGTGCGCCATTTCCTCATTGTGCGTGTGTGTGTGTGTGTGTGTGAGAGAGAGAGAGAGAAAGAGAAAGAAAAAAAAGGGCTGCTATTACTCTATTACCATATACATATAGGCCTGTTATGTGTATCCCTTGTGATCTTTTATTGTCTTAGTGAAACTATTCTGTCTCATCTCTCTTGTGTGTCTGACAGATGTGGACTGTTTGGTGGTGCACCTGAAATATGTTCACTGTAACTGGAATAAGCATGGGACTCCAGAGGTCAATTACACCTTCACCGGCTGGTTAGTAATCATCATAACACAATAAAAAACTAACTTTGTAGTGTCGTCTGAATTTATCAAACTGCAGAGAGAAAAATGTTGGACCTGTGTGACAGATAAAGATAAGACTAATCAATCAGGGGCAGTTTTTGCGTGAGATATGATCATCTCAGAGGATGTTAGACCTTTTTTTTTTAATCTTTCTGTGTGTTTATCTGAGGTTTAATCGTTACACGTAAATGTCAGTGTGGGACGAAACTTTCTCACATGATATGATTTCTCTGATGTACCTCGCCTACCAACAACCGCTGCTCCAGTTTAGTTTTTTTGTTGATTTGTTTCCATTTCAGCCCTATTTATATTTTGTTTTATTTGTGTTACTTCAACATATGAAGTGCTATTGGTGACATTCCTCATCTCAACTCAACCTAAATTTATTTATAAAGCACACTTAAAAACAACTCACATTGACCAAAGTGCTGTACAAAAGGAATAAAATGCTAAAAACACATACATGAGAGGCAACATAACTGTCAGGTTCACAGCTCACACATTCAGAGACGCAACACACACAGGCACACGTCAAGGAAAACCACATCAGAGGGACTCAAACGCTAATGAATAAAAGTAGGTTTTGAGCCTGGACTTAAACGAGTTGATGGTTGATTCAAAAGTTAAAAGCTGAAGTTTATGCAGAATACCAAATTGCTTTTCTTTTTAAAGAATGCTCATGGAGCAGGTGATTGGTCAGATTGCTCAGAGTTTGTGATTTATCATATGATCACATAAGAGTAGAGAGATCTCACCGTTTAAATAAAAGTAAGTCGAATGATAATTGTTTCTTGTTGTACGCTAAGCGAAGAACTATTTTACTCCAAAGAAGGCTCTTTGGAGCATTAAGTCTTGTGTTACTCTTCCAAGTTGGATAAATATGAACCCTGGTATCAGGAAGTAGGAAATTACAGAGAAAACATCTCCAAAAAAAGTACAACAAACTAATAATTTTGTGATATTTGCAGGTGCTTTGGCTGCATACTCTGCTTTGTATGTAAATGACCAAATGGTGATTTCTTTACAGGTTTCACGGTGACAAAGTAATCACTGAGTGCCCCACCTATCTGTCAGAGAACAACACAAACACTGGATGTAACCAGCCCTATGATGACCCAGTCAAGAGGTTCAACACGTTTTACACCAGACTGGAACACGGCGGAAAAAAAATTCAGAGGGAGCATTTTCTTAAATCCAAAGGTATGCTCCTTTACTGGGGTTTAACATAACATTGGGAGGTAGTGTAATGATATAATAGAAACCAGTTAAAAGATAACTTCTGTGTTCTGTATTGTATTTTTATCCTGGACCATATTTCCCATTGTTTATTGTTTTTGTGTCTGGTTGACTGATGGGAACAACAAGTTTTTAAATTGATCTCGTATTGAGGTGAAACAGGCTGCAATGTCACCACTCAGGGCATTTGGCATCTTCAGTTTACCTCCACTAAACATGCTGTTTTTGACACACTCAGATTATTATTCTACACAAGTGTATGATAACATTATGGAAAAGACCCTACTGTGATGGACCTCTCTGTTAAAGAGTAAGATCCTTTTTGTTTAACTAGAAACAGCCCCAAATATCGCTATCGCCAAAGAGATTGTGATTGTTAAAACAGTGGATGACTTCTTTAAATTTATTGTTTTTGCACTTTATTTGAATTGGGATATCATACTTGAATTGTACGTTTTTTGTTTGGCAGTTGCAGCTGTCAGTCGTGACCGCTTTTCACTTTATTGAAGGTATTTAATCGTAATAATTTAGGAAAATTCTCCTCTTTGCAAAGCCTTTAACAAAAATTTCTATAAATGTATTGTTTTTACTTGAATTTTATGGTTTTTGTTTGGCAGTCACTGCTGCCAGTCTTTTTTTTTTGGCGATTTCAGGGCTGTTTCTGGTTAAATAAAAAAAGTCTTACTCTCAAACAAAAGGCTCTATCTCTGTAGGGATCCTTTCCGTAAGTTGTCAGACACTGTTAATAACAATCTGAGCCTGTCAGTGGCAAAAACGCGCACTTTTATTGGACGTAAACTAATGGTGCCAAATGCCCCAAGTGGTGACATTGCGGCCTGTTTCGCTGTCCAGCTGTAGCACTCTCGCTCAATACTGGACCAGTTTCAAAAATGTTCCCATCAGTCACTTAGACACAGATTTTTTTTTTATACCTACTGATAGAGCACATCTTTAACTTAATTATAGTATAATGACTAAAATATGTAAACATAGTGACTCTGATCTGTTACCTTGTCGTCACATTGTATATTCTTTATTATTAACTGGTCTGTGTCATCTCCAGTCAAGTTAAATCCACCAACCAACGTGACTGTCAAGAATGGATCTGACTCTAACCTGTGGCTCAGCTGGATCCAGATTTTTCCTAACTGTGTGGAGAGTGAAGTTCGCTACAGGATCAACAACAGAAATTGGGGGGTATGCAGTTTGAAGGAACAAAAACCTTTTCTTTCTCTGATTCATTATCTTTTTTTGCATCCATGTCTTTTCTCAACTCTGTCTTACCATCCACAGACACCTTCTCCCGCCAGCACTGGGACGCAGAGTTACTGCATCAACTTGCCCATCCGCAATTACCGGTATGAGCTTCAAGTACGGAGCAGAGTGTGGTCCGGCTGTGGGCAGTCTGATTTCTGGAGTGAATGGAGTGAGCCTGTGGTCTGGGGATCTAACAACGGCACAGGTACAACTGCAAAATATCTGCTTTGAAAAAAGGCCAATATGCAGTAAGTCACAGCGGCTTGTGCTGAAAGAATGAAGGAACCGCTGACTTCTGCTGGCGATAATAGAAACTGTAACATTACCTACAAGAACTACAAACCACAAAAACTCTCTGATAAATGGGCATGAGAGGAATTTGAAAGGATCTTTTGATTATTTCCAACATGTAGAATTGATATTTTGACAGTAACACTCAGTGTTTGTGCAGGTATACACTCTTCTTTGTTTGTTCCCAGGTTGATAAATTGTTTTCAAAGGCAGAACTGTCATTGAGGAGCCAGTAATAGTTTCCCTAGGCCTTAACAATCAGCTCAATTACAGTATATGATGGACAGCATGGGCAATAGGGCAGTAAAAACCTGACTTATTTCCCTTTAAGTCAGTACAGGCTTATTTAATAAACTCCTCTATGAATTCCTATGACTTTTTCCACCAAAATACATATGATTAAACATCAAATTTGGTTTTGACTGTCTGTTTCTGCTGCTCTGCTCGTGCACTGAATGAGTTACAATCCATCTCTCTCTCTCCCACTCACAGTAACGAATCAAATGAACAATTCAATGTCTGTGTGGAGCGCAGTGCTGGGTGTGGTGGGTGCTTTCATCCTCATCCTGCTGGTTATGATGCTGCTGCACCATGAAAGGTGGGTCATTTGTCATGTTTAAATGATGGCAATGATAGCGTAGCCACAGAGTATAAGCAATGTCTACTTATTTCCTCAGTTTCCTTTCGATTTTGTTATTATTAAAGATGTTATTATTAAAGATATTTAGCTGATTTATCTGCAATGCAAATATTACAGTATCGTTTTACCACAGTCCAGAAAAGTATAATATCCTTATTACAGTGCTGAAGAGCAGGGGTGGAGCAGGGGGTGGCTTCCAGTGCTCCAGCCCTGAGTGTTTTTCCAGAAGCCCTGATTCAAATCTAATATATCTGAGTAAATGTTATTCTGTTGACCTTAATTTCAGAGTACTGAACAAAACATTTACTTGGCATTTTTGGGGATCCTTGTTTTGCAATTGATTGAAATACTACTCCAGTACAGTATAACAAAAATAGCTTTTGGACCAATGTTAATTTTTGCATTTTCATAATTTTTGCAATAAAATTATCTTCATTCTCATTCAGTTTATTTTTTGTACTATACTATCATCTTTGTTCTCATGTCATGAGCATTATTTGTACAGCTTAATGTGCTTTGACGCATTATACTTGTATCATAATGTGCACAGCTTTATTTGTAATTTCACATATTTTTACCTTTCCTGTATTGTGCTACATACTCAATTGGCCTCTGCAAATTGCCCACAGAGGACAAATAGTGTTTTGAATTGAACTGAATAGGTTTCAAGATTAATTATATCTTAATTTATGTAGCACATTTCATGCAAAGATGCAGCCCGAACTAATTAACAAGACAAGATAAAAATAAACAATATGGCAGATTAGTAATACTGTTTGTGCCAAATCCCTATGTAAATTATGAATAGTAACATCAGACAGATGTTTGCCTCTTTTTAGATTACACAAGTCAAAATTTGTCATCCGCAACATTGATGAAGACAGTTGGAGAACAATTAGATACAAAATAGGATGTAGGCTCAGCAGGATGGTATTTTCTTGGCAATTATCATGTTTTTCCTAAATGATGTACAGGTTTTGGGACATTCTATTATCTCAAAGGACTCGAAAAATAGTGCATATAGCTGCTGTAAATAGGGAGGAAACAATCTCAGGAGTTGCCCCAGGACCCTCCTAGGTATGGGCTGAGCCTGATTGTTTAAAATGTGTGGCTCTGTCCCTGCTGAAGAGCGACAGAGCTACAACGAACAGAAGTGATGAAGATGAGCTGTTGTTGATATGATTATCTGAGAGTGAAAATGTGTCTATCTCCCGTACAGAATCAGAATCATCTTCATCCCTGTGGTTCCCAAGCCACCACTGAAGCTTCACAACACTGAGGTCAGTAGCATCCTGAGCTCTGTGCTGCCGTCACACAAGTTATCTGTATTCAAACCCAATCTTTTTTATTTGGCAGCGAATAAAACTATAGACCAAAACCACTAAATGAAAGAACTAAATGACAGGACAGACATATACCAAGATGTGAGATGACAGCAAAACAAGTCACACATGTTTTTTGTTTGTTTGTTTCTTTAAAGGATTGGTTTGAGTTCCCCAAAGGCCTGAAAGAGAGTTTTAACTACAACGAGCATCCCTGTTCTGTCCGTGAGTACTGCCATGTCCCCCAGTCTGACAGCGAGAGCTCCGACTGCTCCTCCTGCTCCGCCAACACCGACCAAACCGACTGCTCCGTCACTATCCCTGTGAACTAATCAGACCTGTCCACCCCCTGCTCCTCCTCTACCTCCACAGTTCCAGTCAAGACTGAGGAGGAGAGACAAGGTTTTGTTTAGGAGGCAAGCTTATTATACCAAAAATAATAACTCTGAACCACATCATCTATATATCACTTTTTAATGGTGAAATGCAGTTCAAAGTTACTTTTGAAAACATGCTTTAAGGTATAAATAGATATATGGAATCATCAACCACTTGGAGGCAACAACATTTACTATTCCGCAGAGTTTTCACTTTGTGGTTTTTTTAGTTCACTACACTGGAACAAATCAAAGTTCCCCTTACATATCAGCAAAGGCACATTTAAATTTCCACTTCCTCTGATCCCTCACAATCCCTGATGTCAGTTTAACAGTAAAATCCTTAAAAAGTCAACACCCATCAGTTTGTCCTCAAACGTAAAGGTTAATGTGAGAGAGAGACAAATATTTCATACTTTATCATTACTGTTATCAATCCAAATCCTAGTTTATCTATGTTGATAACAGGGATGTAGCATCAGCAGGACTTAATTCCTTAGTTACAGTACGATATGAATGTAAAACCATTGTATTCTTTATTTTTTCTCTTTATCTCCAACTGTGAAGTTTTATTCTTCTGCCTAAATCCAGCTTAGCAATATTGTTCTTATGTATATCGATGTATGTGTACATTTTTCATAGATTTAAAAGGTATACAATGCAGGAATTATGGGAAAGCTAGCCCCAGACTAGTGTTTCGCTATACTTGCATTTTATATTGTTGTTGTTTTTGGCACTGTATCCGTGATTTTTGTAGTTTCCTTCTCGAAGCTGCTCACAGTCTTTGACCTGGATGCTACCTTTCTATTTAGTCCCGACCTTACCTCCACACTCTGCCTAGGAACATCCTGAACAAAACAAAATGAGAAGGAAAATAAGAAAATACAGTCAGAGAGCGAAGTCTCTGCAGATAAGTACACCGCCTCACACTCTAATGGGTCATAAGTGATGATTTAGGGGGATATGAGTCTATGCACTGTTTTTTAAGAACACCCTGCATGGTATACCTACAACCTTTTGTACGATATTTTGCAATGAAACACATATATCACAAAATATACTAGTTTATACAGTATACTGCACTAGGAGTGCTTCACAGCTTCACAGACTCTGGCAATTACACATTTCAAATATTTTCGATCTCATACCATGTGACCTTGACTCTCTTCTGTTTGACTATTACAGTAAAACATTTTAATGGTTGATTGGCAGTTCATTCAAACTTGTAACTGAAAATGGCTTGTTTAAGATGCATGCTTGTGTGTTCTGTAAATTGAGATTGAGTGTTGGTTTCACACTGATAAAATCTAATATCCCAGTTGTTTGGGCAAAATACAATATTGTTGTTTTTTTTTTTGACAATATTTGAGATGTGAGTCTTGGTATTTAATGTGAAGTCCTGACAGAAAAAAATGTTCAATGGCCAAGAGTGCAGCGTTCATCGTTCACTCACTCAGCCAGTTAAACTAGCCTGCCACTTTCTAAAAAGGCACACTTTATTAAAGGTTTATAAGTTGTAATGTAAAACTCTTGGATTTATTAATTTCAATTCAATTCAATTCAGCTTTATTTAAAGTGTAAAATCACCATAAACATGGTCTCAAAACACTTTACAGTTCACATAGACAAAATACATTAGAAAAATACACATTACAAATAAAAAAAATACAATTTACAAATAAGCACAATCATTTACAAAAACAATTAAAATAAATAAAAAAGTGCTATCATGTTGTACCATATGCTTGGGAAAATAAATAGGTTTTTAGTCTCGATTTAAACGGATTAATGGCAACTTCGCAACTTTGGGGTTGTCAAGTCTAAAAAGTTTCTCCAACATGACACAAAATCTGTTTTTACCAACTGTATGGATTATTGTAAAAACCCTGTCTTAATTACTTATCAACATTTATAATTCCAGACTTAGAAAGTGAGAACCCATCAGCATCTATTAATGGATTATAAATAAATATTGTAATTAAATATCTGTACACACGACATCTATTGCATGCCTGTCTGTCCTGGCAGAAGGGATCCCTCCTCAGTTGCTCTTCCTGAGTTTTCTACCATTTTGTTTGTTTGGGTGGGGGGGGGGCGGAGTTTTTCCTTATCAGCTGTGAGGGTCCAAGGACAGAGGGATGTCATATGCTGTAAAGCCCTCTGAGGCAAATTGTGATTTGTGATACTGGGCTTTATAAATAAATGAGAATTTAATTGAATTGTTATATTTATATTACATTTTTATCCCTACTAAATAGAAAGGACAAACACTAGCCAAAGTGAGGTTTCACAAACTGGCAACCCACAATTTGTATTTTCAAGGTCCATTTGCTTTACCACAGCCATTTGGTACTACTTGTAAACCCTGTAATATATGGTGCCTGATTAGAAAGTGACAACAGGACATTAAAGTAAACAGATGATATGGTCACATGTAGCCTAATATAACAATATTTGCAACGCAGCCATTTTAAAAAATATATATTCATATCATTTTGAATGCTATCTATCTTAATTGAATGTACTTTTTCAGAGTTGTTGGGTGTTTTTGTAACCTAGCCAACTTGTATTTTACTGTTGGTGTCTTACATCCGGTATCTGTCATGACCTGTTTTTGATTAATAAATATACATGTCTATACACGTCCAAAGCTCTGTTGCATTAAATGTGTGACTGCATTGAGTGGTGGAGTTCAGCCTGCCCTGTGTGTTTGTCTCAGTGTCCAGTAGGGAGCGTGCGGAGTGTCCCACACAGTACGGAACTGAGTCAACGCATTTTTCAGATTCTAGAAGGGGTAGGGCGCAGGGCGGCTGGCCCCCGCAAGAACAGACACACACACAAGTCAGCTACTTCACTGGCTGGACCGATCAGCTACCGCAATCAATTGATGTCTTCAGACGAGCTTTGAGATTTCACCGTGCATTCAGTTGGTTTGATTCGCCGCTGGTCGTCCAAAAATCACAACCAGACAAAATGACAGACTCGTCGGTGGCCGACACTCGCCGGTTGCATTCCAAGCCCCAGGACCTGACGGATGCTTACGGCCCCCCCAGCAATTTTCTGGAAATAGACGTTTATGATCCACAAACTGTTGGAGCTGGACGGCACCGTTACACAAATTACGAAGTTCGCATGCGGGTACGTGTTTGAATCACAAGCCAAAAAAACACACCTTGGTACACCGTTAGCTTTTGTTTGCTAAGCTAACTGGTAATAACAGTGTTGTTGCTAGCAAGTTAGCATCTTTAGCCGCGGCTCCGAAGTCAACACGGGGACGCGGCTGTGACGTTGACGCTAGGCGGATGGAGTAGGTCAAGATGGCGCGACGGTAAAAATCAAGGACCGGGGATTGTGAGCGGCCTGCTATGCGCTGCTTGATGTAGTTAACGTTAGCAAGTCTGGGCTGTAGACGTTTCGCGAACATACACACGTCTTAAAGCATACATGGTGAAAGAGTACTTACACTTGTCATGATATAGAGTTAACGTTAGAAGTTAATTCATTTAACTGTTATGTAGCTGCGGAGTTAGTTATTTTTAGAGTTAAATCCATTGACAACGTAATTATGACAGTGAAGAAATTAGGAAGTCCCAGAAGACACCGTGAAGCTAACTGCTAACGTTACTTGTCCCTAGATTTTAGCTAACGTTAGCTGTCAAAGTAAGACTCATTTAACAATGTCTGCTTGTTTAAATGTCACACAAAGTGTTTTCCACCAACGTTAGCAAACACAACAGACGTTACTGTTATTGGGTAAACGTATGAGAAGAGTAACTTTAATGTAACTGTTATATTACGTAGTAAAAAAGTAACGTTGAAAATGGTGGTGTTCTAGAAACGGGAGAAATTACCTGCTGCAATGTTAAAGTCCTTTACTCAAATTAAGTGTAATGTATCGAGCATTATTATTATTATCCTTATTAAATAATGAGAATATGAATACTAGCAGTAATTACTTGTAGCAGGAGTAGTGAGTTTAACTTCCTCCTCCAGCAGACAGGCAGTTGAGCTGAGTAAGTCACACATTTGCTGACACTGCTAAGTTTGAAGAAAAGTTATTATTCCCAGAAAGCTTATGCTAGAATAGTAGTTGCGTAATTGTAACTTTCTTGTCTTGTCAAATCCTCAGCTTTTGGTGGCTTTTTCCGGGGAGAGTTTGTCCTTCATAATCTTAACAAGTTACTTTTTCCACTGCTCCAATTGCTTTTTGAACACAACATGCATAGACTCACAGAGGAGCATTATCCTGTCTGACAGTGTCTTGGATCAGAGGTTAACTAGTGTAAGGACATTCTTGTCAAGATAAAAGATGCCAACCTTCACTGGAGAGCAGTGAATTATGGCAAAGTCGTGCAAAAGTATCATCTCTTCTATTACCACTGAAACACAGAAAGATACCTAATGTAAATGCATGAATCGCTTAGAGCAATTGGTGTCAGTTGCATATAAAATATGCCTTAATAATCAAACTGCTGACTTCTCAGTGTTCGGTGAAGCAGGTTGGCTTTGCATGCATGTTTGATTGTGTTTCAAAGAAATGAAACATGAAACAACAGGGTTAAATATCACTTCAACTTTTTATACACAGGCTACTCATTTCATTTTCCACTGTTTAGATGTGTCCTTAAATGATTTCTGGCCAGATTGAACTAGTGTTAAAACAATCAATCCATGAATTGATTGACAAAAAAATGAAATTTGATAATTGATAACCATTTGGTGTTGCTTTTTTCCTGTCATTATAAATTGATATAAATTTTGCTTTTGAACTGTGGGTAGGATATAACAAGCAAAAACTAATAGATTAATTTCACATTTAAAAAAAATCTATGATTAAAATAAACAGTAGTTGCAGCACCAGATACGACTGTAGAGGTTTATGTAGAGAAAGAGCTGCATTCTCGCGTCAAACAAGTGTGTTTCAAGTCTGTTTTGCTAGTCTTTTAGTCAGATTATGGTGGTAAGTAAGAGATATTAATGTTTTTCACACCCATGTGCTTCATGGCAACTCCCAGTGCCCCCAGCACTCATGGTAGTTGCCAGCTCTTCAACAGGCCTTGTTTTCACTTTTCACCAGCGACATCCAGAGGATTGAATTTAGTATAAATAAAGGGCTGTTGTCGTCTTCTTCCTCTTCTTCTCCTTCTCCTCTGTGCAGACAAACCTTCCCATTTTCAAACTGAAGGATTCCTGTGTGAGAAGAAGATACAGTGACTTTGAGTGGTTAAAGAATGAGCTGGAAAGAGACAGTAAGGTGAGTGAGCAATAATGTTGTGTTTCAGACTGAGCGTATAAGCTGGCTGGCTGGTGCAAACTAATAGTTAGAATGATCTGATAAGTGACAATGTTGGTGCTACAGGTAAAAAAATATAATCCCTTGATTATCACGTGAAGTAGGATTACACTGTAGGGGTTTTCTTCTGTGTTAATATAGTGAATGAAAATGTGGGGTGTCCTCATGAGAGTAGGTCTACGTGCCTCTGCACTGCCTTTCTAAATAAGTTTATTACTTGGTCTGTCTGTCTTTGTCTTTACCGCACAGCACACTTTGATTTCAAATTCATATGTGTCGTCTTTCCTGTTATTTGTGTTGACTCCTGATACCTTTAGATTGTAGTACCATCTCTGCCGGGCAAAGCCCTCAAGAGACAGTTGCCATTCCGGACAGATGAGGGCCTTTTTGAGGAGTCCTTCATTGAGGAGCGGCGATCAGGCCTGGAGCAGTTCATCAACAGGTCAGTCAGTTCAGCCCTAAATGAGCACACATACTTTGTGTTTATAGAAATAGATCAAGCAAACATATTTGTCACATAACAATGTGTTAATGTGAAAAATATGAGTTTGGAATTGTGAAGGCTCACTGACAAAGAAGCTACAAGAAGGCTTGTCTCAAACCTGTTACTGTGTTTCCTGCAAGTTTTCTAGCTACGACTGAAATTCACATGATCAGTAGAGTCAGTCATTGCCAAAAAATGTCTATCCCAACACCAGGCTTACCCTAATCTGTGTGTGTGTGTATAAACTAACCAATCCACATTTTCATCCCACCAGCCTCAATGAAAAGCATTAAAAGCAAATGACGTTGTTTGTTGTTCGTCTGTGTGTGTATGTTGTGTAGAATTGCAGGTCACCCCTTGGCTCAGAGCGAGCGCTGTCTTCACATGTTTCTGCAAGAGGAAGTCATTGACCGTAACTACGTTCCTGGAAAAGTACGACACTAGGGTCACTGAGGGGAGGTGGGAGGATGGGTGGGGGTTGAACTCTGGGGTGTAGATCGGACTGCCGCTTGCCTCGTGTCTTCTCTTCTGTCTTTCTGCCTCTCTCTGTCTTTCTCTCACTCTGCGTATACCATTGTGAAGTCACATTCTCTTAATCTTGGAGTCAGAGTATGTTCCTCTGCTATACGTCAGGACATGTTAATACGGTTTTAAACGAGCTCCCCTGTGTATTTGTTTTATAGGTGTAACATAAGGAAAGCACCCCTCAGTGTTAGGGATTGTATCATGAAGCTTTGGCGCTTACTCACAATTTTCAGGAATTAAAATGATGTTTGATACATTCAGTCTTTCCTCAGATGAGTGGCATATATTCATGATTGTAATATAATGTGAATACAGTAGATTAATGTCTGAATATGGCATTAATGTGAAACACAGGGTACATGCAAATTGTAAATGAGCGTTCTGATCCTGTTCTGTTCTCTTTTTTTTTGTTTTTCTTAGGTATGAATGAAGTAAGTTTGCTTTATTTGATCCTGTCTCTAAGAGCTTTGTGGGAATTGAAGGTGGCTGCATGGGCACTGTAAAGACCAAAGGCGATAGTTCACTAATACATGTGTAATACAATGCCAGTACTTTATATAAATGATCACAAAGATCTGACTGCAATCTGTCACTTTACCTTGTAAATGTACCACACATAGTCCGTGGTTGTGACATGAAACAACCAGTTATTGCACCAAAAATGCTGAAGTGATCACGGCGCGCTGCAAAGGGAAGAGCATTCTGCAAGCCAGTTTAGAGTTACCTAGAAAAATGGATGTAAAATCTCACTTGCAGTTGAGAGTTTGTAACTGGTACCAGAGCTGATTCTCAGAAACTGGCTTGCAAAAGTTCCTCCGTCCACCAGTATCAGGCCAGTTCCAACACAAACCACTGCTAGTGTTTTGAGTTATGTGAACTATTGTTTGCTGGGAAAAAGTACTGTACACCACCCATGACAAGAGCTCTCTTTTGAAACATTTCTCAGACTAATCCTGGTACATTGTCATTATCAACCGCACTAATCTTTGGTTGCATGGCAAACTTGCACGCTTTCTTCGCAATATATGTGTTGTGTATGTGTGTCAGTGTCGCTGACCGATTATTTTACATGACTCTGATCACGTCATCTTGTTGAGTCTGTTGATTCAGATCTTTATTTCCCTAAATTCAGTTTCTCCAGACATTTTTTGACAAACAAAGCAAATCTGCCACCAAGTAAATATTGGTATATGTGCATTTTTATGTTCAAGTTACACCTGTTTCTTGTACCAACAACAGTTCATCAGACACAGTGTATGTCTCATGAACTAAATCAATTCAGTGCCCATACATGTAGCATTGCATTCCACTCAATACATGTTGGTCACATGGGAGTCTTGAACCATAATGGCAAAAAAAGAAAACACTGCACTGCATGATGCTTATTGGTGAAGTCTAAGCTCAGCTCTGACACCTTGTCATGAAAACTGCATGCAGTCCTGTGTAATGTACCATGTTTAGCTTGTATTGGAGCTGCGATAATTTCTTTTACCTGCCTGCCTGATTTAATAAGAGGCGGTTACATTTCAGTCTAGAGTGTTGTCAATTTAAATACATTAACAGAGGCAAATATCTGTTAAAGAAAATGGTTAATGATGATTAATACGGGTTTGAGTAATCACCTGACTTAGCTGACTTTCAAAATAGGTACACCAGCAAAGAACAGGAGTCAGCAAGAGTTAATGACACTTGCAAGATAATGTGTGGTACTTTTAAATGAGTCTAACAAAATATGCTTATTTAAAATAACTTTAGAGACCACAGTGTTGCATTTCTGACTGTATGTAAACTGTAATGCCCAAGCAACTGCCTCCTTCAACAACAAAAAATGTATGACAGCAATAAAAGCAGCATTCACATGTATCCACCTTATTCCTAGCCCCCATGATACCTTGCGTGAATTATGTGTGCAACTTCCCGCGTTAACCGAAACCAGCGATTTCCAGTGGTAACAGTTTGTTTACAGTGCTCTATTCTTTCCAAGAGCAACTAGGAAATACAACGTGGAACACACCACCTGTTATAGCTCAAACGGGATTATGTGATCATACCTCTGCCATTTCTGACAGCCATCTCAAAGCAACCAAGCACGCTAGCAATTAGCTCGCCTTGCTCGGTTAAAATATTGTTAACTTTAACTTCACCCAAGCTAGCTTAAGGTAAACATATGCTCCCTCTGAAGATGGTGTCTGATTTCTGGTGACATATTAAGAGATACTAACACATTTGGCAAACATATAACATAATTCAATATTAACTGTGGCTCCATGTAAAGTGAATAAATGAGCTAATCCTCTGCTCGTCTGCGTTAACGACACAGTTTACACATTGTTTTTTTAACTTCTGGTTCATTAAAAACTGTTCTGAGCGAAACATGATGCTGAATTTAGCAGCAGACTTCAGAAATAGTATTATAAAGTAGCAGTAAAAGAAGGTATGTTGCGGAGTTTATTTTACAACAAGCAATTTTCTAATGTAGGTTGAGAATGAAGTCAGACGGGGAAAGACAGGGATATCCCGTACTGATGGTGAGTGACGGACCTGTCAGTCTAGGTGTCCTCTGCAAATTCTGATTTAATACTTTTTCGCTATGTCTCATGAAACTCTTGTGCTTTTATTTTTCATATCATTGGTACCTTTGGCAACAGGAACCCTTTTTGTTCTGGTTACATGTTCAACACACAGTTGCTGAAGACAGAAATTTAGCTTAGACTGGTTGTTACAGACACGGACAGTGCAACAGGTACCACAGCTCTGCAAAGACATTTTAGGAAATGCTAAGTTAATATTAGTTAAATATTTGTTAAAAAATAAATCTGTATTTGCTAAACTGAAGGCAAATTACTTCTGCAAAGAACCAGTGTTGGTAGACTCACAAGTCAGTCTTAAGAAGCTTTGCTTAACTAAAGACTGATGACTTTCTCCCTTATTTTGTGTTTAGATGGGCGGATACAATTTCAGAGTTAAAAGAAACTCCCTACGTTGCAGAACCAATAGTAAATCTGCAGGGCGGTCCTTCGGTGGCTCGCTGAACTCTTGTGCTCGTAAACATAGTCCGACTAGACACACGTGTAGCGGTACAAAATGGCTCAAGTCGCTGTAAGTCCTTCATTTCCACAATCTTGTGGACTGAGCACACGTTTGATAAAACGGAGTTAAATCTCTCGGCATCCATTTTCAAGCTCTTTGTGTGTTTGTTTCCTTGCAGACGAGAAAAGGGGGAACACACATTTCCGGGAGGGCGTGTCCTTTTCAAAAATGCAAGAGGCGTTGCTTTGTTGCCGTCCGTTTTCGCCGGTGTGTTAAACACACTTTAGAAAGGAGTGTCCCCCAGACTCAGAAGGCGGAGATCTCTGATTGTCTGGTGGCGAGACTACAGCGTTGATAGTTAGCCACCAAGAGTAGCCACTGGGACAAACCACAGTCAGTCTATGGGGCTAATTAGCTTACTGCTACGTCCGCTATCTCACTGGAAGTCGCAGCCATAATCATTTCTGCAGTAGTTCCCGCAGGAATAAGGTGGATAGAAAGTCTGCAAATGTATAAAACAAGAATTTGATTATTTGAAAAGTTGATCAGCTTGTCAAAAACTATGAAAAGAGATGGATATTAGAGCTGTTGTACAGTATGGACCCACAATCATTTCTCATGTGATACTTTCTGTGAATAGTATTATAATATTGTGCCATTACATTTAGTCAGTAGACTCTGAGATTCACAGCATTGACCAAAACTTAGAGCGTGAACATGTCTGTATATTATTTCTCATGTCTGTCTCTTTCTCTCTCTCTCACTGCAAAGACTATACAGAGTGCTGCACCTGCCCCATGTACATTTATTTCGACTTCACGTCATTATAGAGCTGGTGGAAATGTCAGAACTGATAAGTATCAACGGTGTAGGAAAAACAACTATTGCTCCTGGACTAAACTAAGCGATCCAATGTATAAATTGTTTGATGTTGTGTCTTTATTCAGTCATTCCACATACAGTATGTACATTATTTTTGATTCAGTAATCAGTGAGAAAAAGAAAACATGTTCCTGTCATAGCTAGACTTTTTTTTTATTACGATGATTATTATGTTTTCTGAATGTCTTTTAAATTGATTTGATCCAGTTTAAGATGAGGGTAATTTCCTGCTTTGATTAATGTCTTCTTTTGCTAGCGGAGATGCGATTTTGATGATAACCTCCCAAAGTCGAGCAACATGTAGCATCATGAAAAAGACAGATTCATTCCAGTCGACATATTTTCCCCCTGAGTTCAATGCTCCGAACATGCTCTTTAGACAGGATTGTTTCATGATTAATTGTTTTTAACTCTGCTGTCTTAGTTACATCATCATGCCTACACTTTGGCTGTGTGTCGTCAAATCAGCTATCGGGAATGTTAGGTACATAACCATATCTAAGCACTGTGACAAGAGGTTCATTATATGAACAATATTCCATTGGTTAAAGGCGTAATCAGCATCTGGTTTATTGATCTGAAAAAAGGCTTAATTCTGCGCTCATTTTCAGCCAGTTTATCCTTTCTATCAATATTATTGTGAGGTGTATTAATACATGTTATCATCCACGAGGAACTTCCTTGTTAATTCTGTCCACCAATTAAATTTCCTGCTGCCTGCTGTTTCACGTCTACATGTTGTCTTTTTAGTTTTTAAACACGAGAAATAGACTCGGCTAATCTTCCCTTCTAGTTAGTGATTAGTGCATCACTGAGGAGCAGCGAGATGGATCAGAGTCATGGGAGCTGGATGAGTGGTCAAGGACTGACGGATGACCTAATTTAACAATGAAATGGAAAAAACATGATGAGGTTGAAAAATTCCGGTGTGTATGTAATAGAGGAAATTCTATAACACATGAATTTTACAACGTGCATAAAGATTTAATTACACTTTTAAAACAAACCAAAGTTTTTAAGTTGGGGACTGGTCAGTAAGAGACTGTGTGAAAATTACTGGTGCAGTGAAATCAGATTATGTTTCACTTTGTTTCCCAGCATGTTTTTTGAACCCTCCCCTTGATTTCAAGTAAAACTACAAAATCCTGTCCACAACAAAAAACAATGTGTTAATTTAAACCATATTATCTCACTGAAACTTAGTGCATCAGACAAAAACTATAACACAGTGACAGATAACACAGGTGAAAACTGTTTCTTGTGCAACTTTTAAGAGCTGAAACGAGTCATTTAATTAATTAATCTAAAAAGAAAACTAATAAGTGGCTATTCTGATAATCAACTAATAGATTCAGTCAAGTATTTCTCACTTCTGGCACCTTTTAAGGTGAGGATTTAATTCACTTTCTTTACCTTGTGTAATTGTAAACTGAACAGACAAATAGATACTTTATTAATCCTGAGGGAAATTAAGGCACTCAGTAGCTTATTACACACAGCACACAGAAACACAGATACACATAGGGATAGAGGATATATGTGTAAGGATAAAAACATTTCAGTGTGTCTAGGTGGTGTTAGAGAGCCCATTTTGGCACTTACGGTGTTCATTTTTTCATTTTATCAAATTTTTCGCCAGTCCTGACGGGACTTTTTGTTGCGAAAATGTGCTTTTTAAATTAAGATATCATTAATTTGAAGACGCCAGTTTCGAGTCTGGGAAAATTATGAGTAGTTTTCGAGACTTCCTGGAATTTCATAGATGAAACTGTTGATTTAATAATCAAGAAAATAACCAAAGGATAAATTCTCAATGAAAATAACTTACTTGGAACACTACTATATTGCAAATGGTGCTAATAAAGTAGAAATTAGGTATGAAAAGCAAAAAAGACCCGCCTCTTCTCATCCCCTCTTCCACCTGAATAAGTTTTGTACACTCCCTAATAAAACTGAAATATCTCAAATTTTGTGTGACGCTGCATCGACTACACTCATCCTTTCTCTGACGTTCACATTCTTTAGAAGCTGCCATGTGTTAAACAACTTACTGAACTTTGTCTTTGACCAATGGTAACTTATCAATAAGCATTAGTACGCTTTTAATGTGCTCATAAACAAGATTTGATCATTACAGTATCAATACTTAATCTTACAAACAAAAAGATTTACCCTGAGCACAGTCCCAGACTAGTGCAGTAAATACACAAACTGAGTACAAACTGTTGCTCTTCAGAGGCAACACTGGGTCTTTTTGTTTCACTACACATGAATCTCTAAGTCCTCTAATCTTTTTCTCACTGCAGTTCGCTTTCAGGAAATACAGGGATTAACGTGAAGAGGAATTCTGGCCACAGGTGGATTACAGTTCTCCCAGAATAGTGATCTTGTGATGCAGACCTTGACCTGCAGGTGATCCAAAGTAGATGTGACTGTAATTGGACACAATGGCGGCTTTCACTTTAATTTGGAAAAAGGAAAAACAGACAGTTCATACAGTTCAGTACCTGTGTTGCACTGAACTACACAAGGCTCCCTGAAAGACTGTGAAAAGTCAGGTTTATTTATGAACTCAGGTTTTTCTTAAAGAGGACTTTACAGTCTGTGCAGCATACGACTCCCTGTATCTACCTTGTAGAGAATAAAAAGTTAAAAACCTCCAGAGGGGGGGGAACCCTCATGCAGGTTGATACAAACATGCAATTCGTGCATACGTCTAAGTAGACAGTAGTAGAAAGATAATATTTTTCTGGGGTACACACACTGACCCTGACCTTCCTTATCAGTGAGAACTGTGACCTACAAAACTACTGAGCTTTGATGTGCTGGCCTTGTCCTGCGCAATGAAAGTGGGCAGACAGGATGGGCACAGTGGGCCAAGGCAGAGATTAGGTGGTGTTTTGTTAGCAGTTCTGCACACTGGAGCCCAGTGTGCAGCCGTGACGCTTGTTGTGTTTGCAGAGACACCCAGTTGGGATAGCTTGATAAAGTGGAAGTAAATTGAAAGAGCAACCCAAAGCAGTGTGACTGGGCAAGTACAAAAGGTGAGACGAGTGGCTACTATAGACAGAGCGACGGGAGGAGGGGGAGAGAAGGCAATTCACAAATCTGTTTTAGTTAAAGTTACCCCTGGTAATAGTCCAAGGCCTGAAATACAATACATCTAGCCTTTCCCATGTTTCCCATGAAGTCCAAACCTTAACATGTAAAACAGAAACAATTCACAGCAACTGAACAATAAGGAAAGACCCCATTTCAAAGGCCGAGTGTGTATGTGACGGTGGATGGTTTGCAAATACATTATTCACACACACAAAGCCAGTGAGGCCCTTGATTTCTCTTTGTAGCTCTATCTTGTCAGCTCAAACTCTCTTAGACTGATACTTTAGTGACCTTATATCACAAAGTAGTCTGCAGTGTGGACATGCTGCAAGTGAAATGGATCACTCAGGGACAGTTGAAGTGATTTGTTCCTTTACTTGGCTGGATTAAAACGGGCAAAACGTGGTTTACTGCCCTGAGATCCCAGATCTACAGGGGCCCTGCTTTTTACTGTGTGTTGCTTTGTGGTAATTTGATATATTACAAATTGAAGCATGTCACACTGCAGCACCATATTAGCTAATGATTTAGAACTTAAACAGTGCCAAAGTCATCTTCAGCTACAAAATCTCACTCAAAAAAACACATCCTGACCTGCGATGGACTCAAAATGACCACAGAGTGGCACACAACAACTACAAAAATGTGCAAGACAGTTGCATAGAGACCCAAGGGCACTCACGAATGCTACAAAAAGGGGAAAAGCAACCACAAATAGACAAAAATTGCTACAGAGTCATGTGACTGCAAAATTACACAGAGCAAATACAAAGAAACACAAAATGTAGACAAAGAAAGCAACGCAACTATAAAGACTCTCTGAAGGACCACTGTGAGACGCAAAACAACAACAAAAAGAAGCTAAATAACTTTAAAGTCTGTGATTCCTGCTCCTCTGTAGGAGAGGTGGTGGGGGCCTTCTACATATCTGTGCCCAGGGGTCCATTATTTCATAATCCGCCCATGGTGGGTCCTGTTTTACTACTTGTCTGTGTTGCAGAGGAGCTGTCGCAAAATGTACATGGTGCATATTCCTAAAAAAAAAAAATGTGTTAAAGCAAACCAGTTGGACGTGCGGGGAACACCTCTAACACGAGACGCCCAGAAAGCATCCTGATGAAATGCCTGAACCACTTCAGCTGGCCCCTTTTGACACGAATGATGTCTGAGCTCCAACACGTCCAAGTTAACACATCCAACTGGTAGGAGGCCCCTGGCAGACCCAGAACACGCTGGAGGGATTATATATCTCGTCTGGCCTGGGAATGCCTCAGGGTCCCCCAGGACAGGCTGGAAAGCATTGCTGGGGAGAGGGACGTCTGGTATGCTTTGCTCAGCCTGCTGCCCTCGCGACCTGGCTTTAGATAAGCGGTTGAAAATGGATGGATGGATGCTAAAGTAAATCAAACGGGAGTTAACAGGGGCCCACGGTACCTTTTTGCCCCAGAGTACCCAATAGCTTGATATTCAATCAAAAAATAGGCCCTTTTCAGACTTTATTTATTTATCTATTAAAGAATAGATTCCCAGAAAACACTAATCACATCTCGTGAGGTTACTCATTGCCACGTCATTGTCTTGCAACACATTTCGAGTAACTCTGACTGACCTTTGCTGTTTGATGCTAATGTATAAAAGTGTATCTCCTGCCTTGAACATTTCTGCAGCCATCAGCACAAAAACTGGGGGGTGATACTGTGACAAAAACTAATGGAGACACTCCCTGTGCTGTGTTAGCACAGGGAGTGCTACATCCTTTCCTAACCACAACAAGGACCTCTGTCAAACCTGTATTTCTTATATAAAGGTGTCAGTGCAGGTTATGTGACCTCGGTCCATGACCCTGATCTGTACATACAAGGTTCATGTGGGTTTGATATTCCACAGTACAAGTGTAAAAAGGTGAACAAAGTTACTAATAATAACTATATGAACCTATAGTTGTTACAAGTATAATGGTGTATTGATTAGTGTTGACATCAGTGTGAATACAGAATGCATACAATTGGACAATGTGGAATAAGATGATTTTAACAACTTTAAAGCTACTTCAGGGGGAGTAAAAGGTGACAACTGTGTGTTAATATGAGTCTTAAAAAGCATGAACACCAAATTGTCCACATTGTTCCCAGTGTTGAACCTCCAGGGTGAAAATAGCTGTGCAGTGATGACTCAGTCACTCTTCCATTATTGAGCTGTAGAGCTCGACTGACTTGAGCCAGCTCCACTGGTTGATAAAGACCATAAGATGCACCTGAAAGCTAAAAAAAAAACTGAGTCAGTAGACATTTGAGTTGAACTCAAATGCTCAAATATGTCTGAAGTAGACAGTGAAAGTTCATTCTTGACCTTGGAAACCGTAGTTGACCAAGCAGTCTCACCCTGGGTCCATTTAGTAGTTCCTCTGGAGCTTTCAGTGGTATTACATGATCTCCCTCAGCAGACGTTGCATGGTGATGAGATTATTTTGTCAACTACTGTTCCTAAAGTCAATAATCAATTTTTAGTCACAAGCCATCATGGAGAACTCCTGAAAATGCATCTACAAGTACAGTCCCTGACAAAAGTCTTGTCGCTTATCCAAGTTGTAGGAACAACAAATAATAACTTGACTTGTAGTTGATCAATTG